GGGCGACTTCCCGTGGCTCCAATCGCCAGCCAAAAGGGCCCCCGGACCAGTGTATTTTGTACGGAGAAGCGTGGCTCTGGGGCGCCGACAAAGCAGCCGCGCAGGGCAAAGCAGCGGTGCCGACCGGCACAGCCGCGCTGGCCGAAACAGCCGCGCTGGCGAGCGTGGAGCACCTCCGCTAGGGAATTTCCTAGTCTGTGGGCAATAAAAATGCGGCGTCCACTCACCCTCTGCGCTTTCACTGGGAGCTGCAATCCTGAGCTGTTCCTAAACTGCCATCTTGGATCGTCAATAATCGACATTTTAAATTTTTACATTTTTCTCTATATTTTTTTGGCTTTTTTTTTTTTAGTGGTTACTCAAGGGATTATCAGGTACAGCTTAAAATTTATACTAACTTAATTGCAGTGAGATATAGAAATATTCTATTTTGAATAACTTTTTTTGTGCCACTGTTACATCATTATGCGTTACAAACCTGTGTTGTTATAATTAGTATTTTATGTAATTTCATATTTTTAGAGAAGCTGAGAGAAGAAAGGAGAGCAAATATATGTTTACAGAGTTTGGTTCATTAACATTTTTATTTACTATTGTGTTTTTTTCTTCATTTATTTCTATGGATTTGAGATACCATCTCTTGTCATTTCCTTAGTCCAATACAGCTTTGCTTCTACCTGCCTCCTGTGGGCTGATACTGCCAAATATATTGTAATTTTTATATGTTATAGGCCCAACAATACAATTACATGCATATTGGCAGGGTGTGGAGACTCACGCCTATAATCCCAGCACTTTGGTATGCTGAGGCAGGTGGACCACTTGAGGTCAGGAGTTGGAGACCAGCCTGGCCATCGTGGCAAAACTCCCATCTCTACCAAAAATATAAAAATGAGCCAGGTGTGGTGGCACATACCTGTAATTCTAGCTACTCAGGAGGCTGAGGCATGAGAATTACTTGAACCTGGGAGGTGGAGGTTGCAGTGAGCTGAGACTGCACCACTGTACTCCAGCCTGGGCAACAGAGTAAGACCTTGTCTCAAACAAACAAACAAAAAAACCTAATACATTACAATTATATGCATATTGTTTTAAAAGTTGCTTTTTAAATCAGTCAGGAGAAGAAAAGAATAATATGTAATGATACTGTTTTTATATATACCCACATAATTCCCTTTGTTGATTCTCTTTGATTTTTTTGTTTGGAATTAAAATATGGTTTTGGGTGAGTTTCTTTCAA